TTAGCGAGTAACGAGGTAGTCCGCTCAGTTCTAGTTTGTGAGGTGGATGAGGTGCAGCAACATACATATTACACAAGTAAAGTTTTGAATGTTGCCAAGACGAGGTACTCGAACATCATAAAGCTAGCCTTCGCGTTGGTGCTAGAAACCTATAAACTACACCCTTACTTTTAGGCCAATACTATCATAGTTCTGACCGATCGACCTCTGAGGTAGATCCTTTGGAAACCCGAGGTCACAAGAAGGTTAACAAAATGGACAATCGAGCTTAGCGAGTATGATACCGGTACAAGCCACACCCATCGATCAAGGCCCAGGTCCTGACAGACTTTGTTGTTGAATGCACATTCAGCACGCCAACCCCCGAAGTTGTTGAGCCCATGACCACCTCGGAGGTATCTACCATCTCGGCGCTCAACCCGACTTGGGACGAGAAGCCCTGGATCCTCCATGTGGGTGGCTCATCCAACTAGTGTAGAAGCTGAACTGGGCCAATCCTCTATGGACCTAGTGAGGTGAAGTTGGAGTACGCTCTTCGATTTGCATTCCAAGCTTCAAACAATGAAGTTAAGTATGAGGACTGATAATCGGGCTATCATTGGCAAAAGAGGTTGGCACAAAACATCTCGTGGTATACAGTGACTCCCAACTAGTGGTGAATCAAGTGAATGGGTAGTATGAGGCTCGGGAGCCTGCCATGTTGGCCTACCTAGCCAAGGTTGGAGAGCTCTTGCCCAATTTTCACTCTTGGTACATCCAACAAGTTTCAAGATCCGAAAACATTGTGGCCAACGTGCTCTTGAATCTGGCCAATGCAATGGACATCACAAAGAGGACAATTTACATTGAAGACCTACCACGACCTAGCATAGAGGGCGCTCTTGTTTTGGTTACGGAACTGATTTGGATTGACCCGCTCATTGACCATTTGCTCCATGGAACCCTACTAGCAGAATGCAACGCAACTCAAAGGGCAGAGCAGTAGTCAGTTTGACATGTTATCATTGTCGAGCAACTGTATTGCAAGTCATTCACACTCCCTTACTTGTGTTGCTTGCGACCAACAAAAGCAAACTAGGCGTTATACCAAACCCATGAAAGTCTCTATGGTGGACACTTGGGGGGTCAGGTCGCTAGTCCAGAAAGCTCTAAGACAAGGCTACTACTAGCCCACAATTATGGAAAACGTAGTGGAGTTAGTTCAAAAGTGCAACAAATGTCAGTGGCACACCGACATACCACGTCAGGCCACTGCCAACCTGAGATACCTTACCAGCCCTAACCATTCATGCAATGGGGAATAAACATTATCAGTCCCTTCCTACCTGCAACCAAGCAGAGGAGGTTCTTGGTGGTCGCGATGGACTATTTTATTAAGTGGGTGGAAGTCGAGCCGCTGGTATCCATCAAAGCTCATAGAGTCCAAATATTCTTCTAGTTGAACACTATCTACAAATTTGGACTCCTAAGGTGTTGATATCAGACAATGGAAAACAATTCAAAGACATCAAGTTTTAGAACTGGTATGCCAAGATGGGAATCCAACAAAACTTCACTTCGGTGGCTCACCCTTAAGCAAACAGTCAGGCTGAAGTGATGAACAAGGTGATCCTCCACGGACTGAAAGATCAACTTTCCTGAGCTAAGGGTTTGTGGGTGGACGAGTTGTGCAGTGTTCTCTAGTCCTACCGAACTACCATCAAGACAACGACCGACAAAACTCCTTTCAACTTGATGTATGGGATGGAGGTTGTCATCCTAATTGAAATCAAAATGCTAACCTTGCAGTCTAAGACATATGGCGAGGAAGCTAATGAGGACGAGCTATGGACTAACCTTGACCTAATGGAGGAAATTCGTGACTTAGCCTATATTCGAACCACAGCATACCAACAACAAGTAATTCAATACTATAATGCCCGAGTTAAGAGACGTCAATTTCGATTTGGCAACCTGGTACTAAGGAAGGTTATAGTAGCTAAGCTTGATGTGGGAAAGATAGGTTCAAATTGAGAAGGCCACTATAAATTGCACAAGGTGATCGGTGAAGGCACATATGAGCTTGAAACATTGGAGGGGAGGCAGGTACCCCATGCCTGGAACATTAATAACTTAAGGAGATATTACTTATGAGGAGTTCAAAAGTTTCGAGTTGCGTCTGTAGAAGCAATAGTATTTACTAACCATTACGGTGATCTGGTCAAACTACTAAATGAATAAGGGGAAGCCAAACCGCTTTCAGCTCTACGACCCCCTATGTCAACCTCGGAAGATGTCGGTAGCTCGACAACGCTTCGACTTAGCCGAGAAGATATATAGTTCGGTAGTGTTTTGGCTTAGCCGAAATCGCAAGTCTAGTCACTTCAAGATCTAAGCATAGGTGCACCATGACAACCTCAGATTGTGTTTTAATAAAGGGCGCGAAAGAAGACACAGAGTGTACAGGAAAGACTGATCCTATTCATTCAAAAAAGAGAAAAGAGGGACATCCATTCAAAAATAGGAAGGCAAAGAAAGAAACGTTCAAGAGCACACAGGCTTTAAGAAAGAAACTTTCAGGAGCACGCAAGCTCCAAGCACAGTAATTGTCTAAAGACATGAACAAAGACTCACCATCACCCTGCAGACTATCGTCGACCTCGTTCGTTCCCTCGTCCTCTGCCACATCGCTGACCTCACCAACATCCTCATCTGGAGTTAGAGCCTCTTTGTCAACCTACACGACTAGCTCGTCCAATACCAACCTAATCGGTAGAGTACCGAAATTGAATTTGGGGTGTTGGGACTTGAGGAAGCAGTGGCATAGCTTGAATCCTCTCTTCATAAATGGAAGGGTGTATCGATCTTCTCCTACTCATACTCTAATGATCGGTAGAGACGCTCAACTACTACGACCTCAACACGTCAAATATCTTCAGTATATTTAGTCTACCACTCTTCCAGCTAATGATCCTTGGTCTGCACTTCATCGGTCAGAGTGGCAATGGTCCCTTTGACCACCTCCAAATCTCGCTGCATGTCGGCGCTAAGCTCATAGAAATGTTTGCGTTTCTCCTCTGCATTGTGGTAGGGCACCTCGATGCTTAGGCAAGCTCCCTCCAATTGGGCCTGCAGGATCTCTATGTTCGCTTGCATCTCCTGCTTTTCACGCTTAGACACGACAATCTGATTTGACAAGATATGGCCCATCAAGTTTGCCTGCAAAGAAGAAAAGTAGAGATTGGAAATTAAGATCACACACTTGTAGGATGCACCAAGTCATCCTTGTGCCGATGTTAGCAAGATTGAGCCCGTTGTAGTACTAGAAGTCCTTAGGAAGAAGGATCCCCCTCCCCAATCACAAGGCAACCAGAGGGTTGGTTAGACGGTCAGTAATGAAAACGTCAATATTAGGGACGAATCGAGGTATGTCAGAGTGAGAGGGGCCAGTGGTGCACTTTTTCTGGGGCGACGAGGCGATCTGACCTATGGCGACTTGAGCAGGCTCTATGACATGGGGTTGCTGCCCCCTTCAAGGTCGATGACCTCAGGTATGCACACAGTTGACCTCTCCTCGGCATCGGTCGACGAACTCTCCATTGACAAGCGGACTAAGGTGTCAACTGCCCTTCTCTTCTTTTTTGAGGGCCTTTTGGTTGCTTGCAGGAGGAAAGCAACACTCGCCATTTCTAAGGAAACACATAGTCCAATATACAGACAAGTTATGATTAGGCTGACCTACCTATAGGACTCATGCCAGCCCGAGTGAGCATAGGCTCGGCCAAGAACTGATCTATCATTAATCGCTGATGTACAAGGCGTTGGACCTCAGAAACCTTTCTCACCCTATGTTGTCAAACAGTGTCCATAGGCTAGCTGACCTCCTGGGAAAGGAGGAAATACCTACTCTTCTAGTTCCTCACCTTTGTTGGAAATCCTCCAAAAAGCTTATAACCCTAGCAGTAACTCAAGTAAAAACAATAAGATTCGTTGAGAACCTTCTTTATACTGCATAGCGCCGAGAAGATTAAACAACCCAAACATAGCCTTGAGAAGATAAAACAAGTAAAAACAATAGGGCTCTCATACACTCTAGCTCTCTTGCATTATTACAAATACATTAATAGCTCATTAACTTTAACATCGGAGTGTTCATCTAAGAAAAAGCAACCTAGACATTGATCTATTCTTTGTTGCAACTCGACAAAGTGACTTTCTCACACCCGAGCTGTCCAAGCACCAGCGTGTAAGTGCAAGTATGTCACTGGAGGTGAAGTGTTGTAATGGTAAAGGTTTGGGCTAATGATTATTATGAATAGAAAATTTGAAAATAAACATTTTGGTAAAAAAACTTCAAAGTATTTTGGATATTTTATGTCTTTTTGTAAAATTCTAAGGTAAAAACTTCATGGTATTTTGGATATTTTGTCTTTTTGTAAAATTCTAAGGTCTAATTAAAAATATATGCAATTAACAAGATAAGTGAGTGCAACTGGGGCATTTGAGCCTGACCTAAACACAATAAAGTAAACACATTAAATGAGCCCTTCGTAAATATTGTGACAACTCTCAAAAGTGGGTATTAATCTCTTGAAAAGAGTAGGCTGGATATTGAGGGAATGTAGGATTAAGTACACTGCATCCCAATGTAAATTCTGAATGACAGCCTAATAACCTTAACCAACCCCGTGCATAATTCTGAATGACAGCCCCATAGTGTACTAGTAGACCCCTATTCCCGTCCGGTTCCTACTAGTAAACTTGGCATCAATTCACGATCCGATTCAGCACGTGAATTTGGCATCAATTAACGGTCAGATTCATCCCCTGTACGGTGGGGCTAGAAAAATCTAAGATGGACTGATCATTCATTCTCCCAAAATATTAAAACCCACTTTTCACAGTTTAACGTGCTTACAAGTTACAACGTCGTGCAACAACGGTCAGAAACTTCACGGGCTCAGCAATTTACCCTTACTCTAAGGCATCCGATACTTCTGAAGATGGCGATGATAAAGAAATGGCATAAGAGCGTTCAATATCAAGTCAATAACATTTAAACATATACACGATCATATATTTACAGTAGAAAACTATTAATCAGTAATTCCATGCACTACCTCCAAAAACTCATCAATAGATCCTTCACTTTTTTTTTTTTTTAATTCAGGACAATATCTTCATCTTTTATTGAAGTAAAAACAAACAATGGTTTCTCCATCTCTCCATTCCGACAGCTCAGTGATATCCAATCGGAGCCGGAGACTCCCTCAGCTCATGCCCCTGGTAGTGAATGTCCTGTATTCCAAAACCAATACAATTAACAACTATTAGTACTCGGTTTAACCAAATCTAAATCAATTAATCAATAGTCATGACAAATTATAACTTACCGATGCAAAGTGGTTCACATCGCGATGATGCGCCTCATCGGCCCTCACAACCATGACCACGTCCCGGAGAGTCGAGTCCGGCGGCAACTGCCAGTAGTCGATGGCTATGGCGGGAGCCGGCACGTTGTCGATGTTTCCCTTGTCCAATTCCTTCAGGAACTCCGTATACGAGTGTATCGCTTCCTCCTCCAGATACCCCACCACCCGGTGTGCGAACTTTGGCGAAATCAAGTAACCCAGGAAGTAGGCATGGAAGAACACACCCTGAACGGTGAGAACCAGCGCTCTTTCATACCAATTGGGCTGCGACACCTCCATGAACGTCATCAGGTGCATCCGCTCGTTCTCCGCTTCTTCCATCAATGCCTTTATCCACCCTCCGCTGTGCTCGAACCGCCTTAGCGACTTCAAATGCAATAGCATCCCTCCCACCATGCCCGGAACTGCCGCAACCGTCTCAAGCATCATCGCCCGACACCCATATCGCCTCTGTGATCACAGTTTTAATCAAAATTTCAGGACTCACCGACATTTTCCGACTTAGGAATCAATTAAGCTTTGAAAAAAGAAGCATAAGCATACCTGAAAGAAAACATCAGTTGGGTATCTGAGAACCTTGACAGTCCAGTAAGCCAACTTGTCCAAGAACGTAACGGGCGCGTGGTGCTTCTTTAGATCGATCGACAGGTCTGCTTTGTACGTCTCCCATGGCTGTATTGCATAAATTAAAATAGTAAGTGAAAAGTTAGAAAATGTTTTAATTAAATTATTTAAAATTCGCAAAAATAATCGATTCCGGAAGCAACAAGCAAAGAAGAAGGTACCCTAAAGCAGTTCCACCTCCACTCCGTGCCATCCTCCTTCATCATCTTCGACGGAGGCACGCCCCAATAGCTCACAACCGCCTTTTCCTCCGGATGCTTGGCGAGGCCACCGGCAGAAACACTTTCTACGTTCTTCTCTTGTTCTTCCTCCTTGAAAGCCAAGGTGCTCTCGTTCCGTACACCCAGCACGGGGAACCTGACCCACGCCACGCTTGTCCTCACCGGCACCCCCGACGCACCCCCATGGAGGAATCCGGTTAGAATCCCATTCGCCGGTTCGTTGATAACCGTGCGGACGGTCGTAGTGGAGAAGAGACGGAAACCGAGCTGCATGAACAGCGGTGCGGCCGCCTTCGAGCTCCTCATCATTTCGGATTCAGACTGGAAAGTCGAGAAGCGAGACGGGAAAAAACCGGTAAAAATGAAGATGAAAATCAAGAACAGGCAGGACAACAATTTAAGGAATAGGAAAAATGTCGTAACGTTTCGGTGGAAATTTTCAGTTATGGCGTCTTCACTTGACTTTGAATGACGACGAGCGTCGGGTTTAAAGAAGGGGGTTTAAATAGGATGCCGGAAGGCATGAGGCCGTGCCGCCGTGGCAATTGGAAGTGTTAAGAGTTAACATGATCTTAACCAGGGTTAGTTTCACGTGCCTTGATATGCATGTGGTAAGGCGGTTGAGATTTTTGGTGGTACAATGGTACACGTGGCAGAACGGCAAGGGAGCAACTAAGGTCTAGAAATTTCTCGGTTCATATGAATTATCAAAGCTATCCTTCGTCTATTTAGTGTATTACTTTTAAAAAGCTTCTTCGGGTTATTGTATGATGGGGTGTTTTGGTACAATTAGAAAACATGAATATTTTAGGGTTACGTACTTCTGGTTCCACACAAAACTTGGGAGGCAAGAAAGTCTTGTTTGGGGTCCAAGTCAAAATAAGTGAAGACAGCTAGCAATTGTTAAATTGGCGGGGTCTCTTCCAAAAGGAGAACGTTGCCAGAAGTTGGGACTTGGGAGTAGAAGGGTGGACCGACAGCCCTATCAAGTTGGAACTTGGAAGGTTGAAATGTTCAATAAAGACAGCAGCGATTACGACGACGGCAAAGGGGAGAACTGGATCCCGTCACACGTGTCAATTAATATCCTCGCGAATGAAGACAATGCCATATTATTTTTTTTTTCTTTTGAAAATTAATATAAATGTACTGCAAAGAGAAGAGAAGAGGGATGGATTACTACAAATAGAAGATAACAGAGATGTACTATAAAGACAGCAGCGATTTTGGTAAATGTAATGTACGTTTTCAAAAGTAAACAAATAAACAAGAAGAGAAGAGGGACGAGATGATTTGATTCTCGTCAAATATCCATATTTCTTTTGGGGCAAGAAATGACAAGAGATGAATTTCCCTGTTTATATTTTTTTACCGTTAGAATTTTATCAAGATGGTCCTTGACTATATTGGCCACTGAATATTTTAATATAATTATATTTTGGAGCATTCCAACTAATTTGTTTTCAAAATTTGTGAGATGTGATAGAGGTATTAAATTGGCTTGGGTGCTTATATCATACCGTTCACAAAGCCGGCTTTGCAGCTTTGCATTAAGAATATCTCTCTCCATAAAAAAACAGCATAATAAGACGATCTCGTTGGTCACATGTTTGGACGTTTGGTGAAAATTACATTTACACTTCATACATATAGAAGTTCACATATGCTCTTTGATTCGACTATAGGTGTTAGTATTAGAAATTCTAATTTTAAATTTGACATTTGATATAATTGAATCAAATTAAGATAATTTGAATATTGTAATTGATTTATTTATACCGATTATCTAATTGGATTATATTTTGGATATAATCTGATTCGATTCGATAAATATTCAAACTTAACTACTTATTTAATTCTTATATAATATATAAAATATTTAAATGTTTTATATAATTCATATATAATAATTAAATTATATAAATAAAATATTTATTAGTTATCTAAAATAATTAATTGGTTGAATTTAAAACAAATCGAATTTTCTAATCAGATTCGATTCAAATTCAATTCGTTTACACTCCTTTATGCGACTCCAATCTCAGATGGGAAAAATAAAAAAGTTCCACCCTTCCAATGACTGACAACCGATTTGTGTTTTCCAAACTTTTCACCCAACATAACTTCTGGTTGTATGGGGTTCACTTGAGAAAAGCAAGCAGCCCTCACGAACAGGTAATTATATTGGTTGATTCAGCAGCTTTCAAGTGCTCCATGCTTATATTAATAAAAGGATGAACAATCCAAGCGGCCAACACTTCAAATGCCTGATAGACAACACATTTAGGATGGTGTTTTTCGGAGCAACGATGCCAGCTTAGCAGCATAGATGCGTTTCACAGAAAAATGTCAAAAAAGTTGTTTAATTGAACCGTTTATCAGACAAAACATGCCTCTCAATTTTCGTGAGAGATGTTTATCAAAAAAAATGTAAAATCTAACATTTTTCATTTTCAAGGCCATTTTTTTACTAATTGGCTTATATGGCACCTAATGGCGCTTTGGAGTAAAAAAAAAAAAATGTTTATAAGAAAAAATTGTACAAAAGGTTTATAAGATAAATTTGCCATCGATACCAAATATCCCTTAAGCTCTTTCTGTTGTATATCAAGAATATCTCTTGTACTTGTATGTTATTATTCATAGAAGATATTTTTAAAATACGGTGGTATTGTGGCTGCAAATAGGGGTATTAATGTTATTCAAAAATTCCTTTTCGAATTCGAAATTGAATATAATCAAATCGAATTTGGATAATTTAAATATCTAATCTGTCAAATTCAGATATGACCTGATTCGATTCAATAAATATTTGAATTTGACCGATTATTTAGTTTTTGTATATAATATATATAATACTTAAATGTTTTATATAATTTATAAAATAATTAAATTATATATTTATCAATTATCTAAAAAAATTAATTGGTCTAATTCGAATCAAATCAAATATTCGAATTCAAATATTAATTCACAATATCCATGGGATATCGTATCACATTCATATATTATATTTTCTAATTGGGTTCGAATTCGAATATTATCTGATTCAATTCAAATTCGATCCATTTACACCCCTAACTGTAAAGTTAGTGTGAGGACATTTACCGTAAAGTTAGTCTGAGAAACCTCTTCTTGTTTAATGGGATATTAAAAGATCTACTCAAAAAAACTTGCCAAACATTCTCTAAAATATGAGAAAGGACCACGGGGGGAAATAAGACCAGATGGGGTCAAGGAACATACTTCATGAACGACGTCATTGGTAATGTTCTTCAAATCCCCAAAACATGTATTATGGGATTAGCCACGCGGCCCACACCAAATTAATTAAATGCCTCTGCCACACGGCCCACACGTAAAGACCAATCAATAATAGAATAAAATTAAGTTGGCAACAAGAGAACCTCTGTGGCTTGGGAGCCCACTAAGCCCAAAGTCTTCATCACTAGCTACGTCAATACCCCAAATTAATTTTGTTGAAAGGAATTAATTAAATCATCTACTGATTCCTTCCAGAGTTCAGAATGAACACAAGCACCCAAGAGGCCAAGATCAATAACCTGTCACGGAGTGTTTTTATTTTTTTAAATCCCGTTCATGAACTGAATGCATGCAGCCCTTGGTGGGCGGGCTTATTAAATATCACAACCAAAGTGGGCCTCATGACGTCCATTCTTTCTTTTAATGCCCATCTTGTCCTTTTTGGGGTTGTCTGTACATGCAATTTCTTTGTGGGACGTTAATGTTTCTTTCTATCCAAGTAAGTAATTGGAAGTAGGGTTACGTTCCTATATAAATCCACATGCTGCTTTGCTTCTTGATTTTCTTAAAAAAAGTTTAACGTCTTATTTAATTCGTGACAAAAAGGAAGTAGTGTGTCCAAATGTCCTCTACTCCTGGTTCTCTTTTGCTCTGCATAACCTTGCTTTCGTAGAAACTAAATGATTTATCGTCTAACGGCGCGTTTGATAATACTTTTCACATATCTGGTGTCTGGAAAACTTGTTTTTCAGACATCAGACCCGTTTGATGACGTGCCCGAAAAATGATCTAAAGTTTGTTTTTGAATTTGAAACTCAAAGCATGTGGCCCAATCAGATGCGTTTTAGAGCCAGTAAAAGGTTGAAACCACCCCCAACATTTTCGAAATGATGCATTGATGCCCCTGATGATCCCCCAAACCAAAAAACCTAGCTCATTTTTGTTTCAAAGGCGAAAGAAATCTCAATTCGTGAAGATTGCTCCAGGTATGTTCGCAAGACTTTCTTTTCTCTCATGTTTGCTTCTTCTTCTTTGTCAAACGTCGGATTTCTTACTGTAAATCTTCATTTTTTCAGGGGTTATAGTCGCACTAGACACCTAGCAAAGGTTTCTTCTTCTTAATCTTTCCTATTTACAGTTGCTTGATTTGTTTGGTTTGTTTACGCTTAACTATTGAATCTCTTAAGTTTGTTAATAATCATATGCATACTGTAGATTATTTTATTTGTTTATTGAATCTCTTAACTATATTGAAAACATTTATGCTTTGTTTTTCCCCTTCCAGATTTGTTTTGTACGATGCTTTGTTTTGTATAATGCCTTGCCTATTTATTGAATCTCTTAACTATTGAGAAAATTTTTAATTTTTATGTGTAAATTATAAATTATTTTTTATTAGTCATTAATTATTTTTATTAATTTTAATTGTGTTATTTTTAATTAGTAATTAGTAATTTGTTATTATTTTTTAAAATTATTTCAAATTTTATTTGTGTAAATTATTAATTATTAGTTAATAATTATTTTAATTTTTATTAAAAATTATTATATAACTATTTTTAATCATTAATTATTTTTAATTTTAATCGTGTAACTTTTTAATTATTAATTATTTTAATTTTTATTAAGTATTAATTACTTTAATTAATTTTAATTGTGTTATTTATTAATTATTAATTTGTATTCGTATTATTTCAATATTATTTTGAATTTCACAAATTATTTGATATGAAATAGTGCAAATTAAACTCAAACTTATCAAATGGTATGTCTTAGGGGTAAAATAATAAAATCAAGAAACTTTAAATGCTAAAGGGTTGATCCAACACAAACAATCTTATCTTTTCAGAGTCTCTAAAATGTAAAAAAACATCATAACTCTTTTCAGAAACTTTTAATATCTTTTTAACTTTTTAAATTTATCAAAGGCCACCTAAATGAAACATGTTTGGAGGTGCAAGAAATAATATACAGGAATTTATTCTTTGATTTCCTATCCACTTTTTCAAGGTTTTGCATGAATTAGTGTGAATGTAAATTCTGTGGTGGAATTCTAATTGTCACTTCGGCTCAATTTGGTAAGAATACAAATACAAATATATATTGTGGAAATACATACAAAATACAAGGTTTTACAGTCTACAAATTCGTATTAATTTGTATTCCTTCCAAACTGAGTATGGGCGAAACCGAGCTCCATCTCCATGTGTTTCCTGTTAATGAATGCGC